AGGTAACATTTCAAACATAATAGTTTTGAATCCAATGAAAACTGAAGTGGACAGAGTATTGTTCCCATTAACCCATCAATAAACATCTCTCTGACATATTTGTTTAATCAGTCACAAAATTGCCAGATTTTGTCACTAGCCAGTTTGAGAGGTGCTCAAGTTCAGTTCGGTTCCAAATATTATACTAATGCCTAAGAGAAACTGCATCAAAAATGATTTAATTTTCAGTTTCCAAACCATCTTTTTTCATGCTCATTGCACAGCTGTCACCAGCCAATCAGCCCACCTTAAGCACAAACGGCTCTGCGGACACCCACTCCTAAGATAACTTTAAGAAAAGTTTTATGCTTTTGAGGCGTGAGAGACAGCTGGAGCTCCTATACTTTTTGAACTAGAAACCTTGTTGCAGGGCAACAAAACAGTGCTACTCAAGATGAAACAGTATTTTCATTATTCCAACCATGGCAGATTTTTTATTTTTTTCCCCCACAGTTTTACATTCAACAAAAGTGTAAAACTCATTACCTCTCATAACCCATATATGTAGCAGTTATTAATAACGCGGACAGGTGAGGCTCATTTTTATAATAAAAATACTCCTACTGCTCAGACATTTTTCTAAGCTGTCAGCATTTATGGAATCCTCAGATGCATTTCTAATACCATCCCATATTGAGAATATTTTCCTACATGTACCTTGCTCAACAAAAAGGTTGCCTTAAGATGGTACCCAGCATCAATGTAGGTACGCAACAATGATGTAATAGTAACCTGTATTTGTATGACCTTCAACCATTTGGAATTGCATGCATGTTGGCGCGTGTGTTTGTGTGCTGCAGCTTGGTGAACTAGAAATAATTGTGCTTGTGTTGAGTTGGTGTATGCGAACGAATTTGTCGCCCGGAGGTGCACGGTTGTTAGAATGATGAGAACAGTGGAAGTCCTGTAACAGCACCAAAGGGCAGCAAAGGACGGGTGAACCCAACCCTAGAAAGCTCCAACAACCCAAAGCAGGCAAACACAAAGCTTATGACCGCCCCAGCCCGGGGCAGTTATAAGCCCCACGCAGAGGAAGGATGCTGGCGAAGCAAAAGAGCAGCAGCACCCAAGAGCACAGGGCGAGGATGATACCCCACAACCCAGCCACACCATCATATCCCGCCACGCGGTTCAAGCCCGAGACCCAGTGACTCTGACGGCCCACCCTTACGGGCACGACCTGAATATCCACTCAAAGAGAATCTCACCAAATCACCCCCCATGCCCTTAACACCTCCTTTACTCATTCATCAGAGACCCCCAGGCCATCGCCACACCCCAGCCAACAACAATCGAGTTGAAAAAAAAAAAAAAGAAAAAGAAGTGTGCTACCAATGGAAGATAAACTATGGGCAAGTGACAATAGGATACTCAACCTTTTGCATAGCATTGTTCTCAGTGCATCTATTTGTTTGTAGAGCTCAATTTTCTACAAGCTATAATTTCACTTTCGGAAGCTACAATTATCCTGTGACCAGCAACACATTCAGTATATAAGAAAATAAATTATACTAATTAGTATCCATGTTTCTTATTATGTGTCTCTACACGTCAGAAACATTCTTTTTCAAACACATTTAGGAGGCAACGCGCAAAGCAAGTCTTTGGCTGCGAGCTTGAACTTCTCAGAATGCATGTTTGCTGGAGACGAAACTCAGCCTCACCCCCAAAAGGCACTGAATGTCACTGTGATTTTACACTGGCCCCCCATTTACACATGCCTTTTGATGTGAGAAAACATTGCGTGCAACTTTCAGCAGTTGCAAAAACCTCACATTGTACCTCCTGTCCATTCTACTTTGTCTTTCTTCTCATCAAAGCCCTCTTTGCCTGCAATCTCTATCACCTTCCTCCGCACCCCTCCCTCCCTCAATCTCAGTCAATCAATCCCCTCATGAAATCACAAGGTGACATGTACAGTGTTGTCTTGGTAACCATTGCTACACAACTGTTGCCTGGCCAACGAGTGCAAACAAGCTCCAAGCCCAGCACGGGGCTGGAGCAGCACAAACGTTGAACAAGGCATCGAGGAAAGGCAATAAAAGCCCGGAGGAAGGTTCAGGGGGATGCAGGGTCACACACTGGCTGCTGCAGTCCACCCTCTATTTAATTTAATGATGCCATTAACGTTGGATTCTTCAGCCAAAGTGCTCCAGCATAAATATCAGGAAATCTGCTTGCTAAATAAAGAAAACTGTGTTACACAAAAGGTAAGAGCTATATATCTTGTAAAGCCAGCAGAAATGTTCCTCTGCTACGCATTTATCCAATCCTTAGAAGGACTTTACCTTTCAATTCATCCTGAATTATCTTCATTCAGTCATGTCATGGAATTGGCTTTAGTAAGGCCGCTTAAAGCTAAGGTTCTCAAACTGTGGCACAAATACCCCTTTAATGACAAATAGAAGAAATTCTGGCAACGACCCCTTACAACATAAATAAATTGCTAATTACCTGATAAGCCCCAGGTAAAACATTGTTAAAAAAACCAAAAACCTTTGTTTCAAATAGTAACTACTCAGATGTGAACTGCTGCAGAGGGTATGTTAACTCTATAATGGCAAGTGCATAATTTTTGATGTGAATAAGCATCTTTGAGACATCTAGTTTTTTAATGCAATTTGTCCTATTGTCCAAAATCTGTTACATCAATAACAGCATTATCATTCAATTTTTATACTTTCTTTTTAAGAATGTTTATATGATAATAAAGGCACTATTAAGATGCTTTTTACTTGTGTTGTTCTTATAATGTATACAAAACACATTTTTTTATTGCTTGTTATAATCACGTGATTACAAAAGCTTAATGCATTAATTATATTTCTAAACATTTTATTTTTTGAAATGTGCATTAAAAGGTGATGAACTTTAAGTTTAAACTGAAGCAGACAACACAAACCCAAGACAAAAGGCGCTTTCGCACTGCACGGAACTGTACGGAACGGAACGGTTCCGAGCGTGTTCGCATTACAACTTGCGACCGGTTCCACCCGGCCCCATGGAACCACAAGAGCTGTGGTTCCAATCGTGCCGGCCAAGCGGTTCTGCTTAGAACCAGCAGCTGATTGGCCGCTGGTTGTTATGGAGTCAGACGTTGATTTTCCGTTGACAGCTGGCTCTCACTAAACTGTATTTTATTTTGTAAAGAGTGCTCTTTTCAATATTTTTATGATTAGTTTTAATTACCCATGGATTCGTCTCAATATAGTGCAATCACCTGGTCAAATGATGAGGTATTTTTTTTTCCTCCGCTTACTCGCTGATGAGTAAGTAGTAGTTTCAAAAATAATGACGTCCGGCACCGCTTCGATGGCGCCCTCAGTGCAATGTGAACACAACAGGGCTGGAAGCGTTCCGTTCCGTACCGTTCCGTTCCGTACCGTTCCGTTCCGTTCCGTTCCGTACCGTTCCGTTCCGTACCGTTCCGTTCCGTTCCGTACCGTTCCGTTCCGTACCGTTCCCTGCAGTGCGAAAACGCCTAAAGTCACACTGACAACTTATGACACCTAGGATATAGGAATAAAATCAAATCTGAACTCCCAACTTATAATTTTACTAATCTGTCTTTTGAATTAAAATTGAATGCACCATAAACCTCATCCTTCAACCAAACATTTTGCACCAATTGATATTAATATTTTCTTCCCATTTTTCTGTTTTAATACCATTTTAAAAACTACAAAACAGCAGAGTCCAAGTTCTCTTTTATTGCTCTTCATAGAGCAATAAAACATTTCTCATTGTGTTTGGTACTTTAGAACCGTAAAATTCACCCAATTAGATCATGTTTTTGAAGAAACAACTGCTCTAAATACTGAAAGAACCGATACTTATAAAGAAAAAAAAAAACATTCTAATGAATCACTTTAACAACATTAATTCACAGAATTCTGTTTCTGGAGAAGAACCTCTTTTTGAGTAATTTTCCTTCCTCTATACTTGTTTTGAATTCAAGGTTCACATGCTGGTGCATGTCCTCTGGGGAAATGTTATTTATTCGTTATAAAAACCACATGCAGTGCAGTGTCCTCACAATATGTTAGATTAAAGCATGTGGAAAAACATCAATAGATATATATTATTGATGGTGTTTTTTTTTTTCTTTTTGATCATAAGTTAGAGAATTAAAGCTGTTATTGTGTGGATACACACTGAGAGCCGTACCAAATCAGACACAGGCTGGTCGGAAAGCCTTTGATGAAACGAGATTTCTTTTAATGCACAGATTTCTACATGCTACACTCCAAATCTGCCAAGAAAAACAGAATGGATTGCTGGAGAAAAGAAAGGTGTTTGTCTCAGAGGAAGGTGCTGCGAGGGAGGTGGAGTAAATTGACTGTTTACAACAACAGACCCAGAGAGGGACCTTGAATGTCCATGACGAGCTCCCTTCCCTTTTTTCACTTTCAAGTCACCTTATCCCCGGGTTTTTCTGGATGCCATCCTAAAAAAACCAAGGCCATAATTTCCATCCAATTTGCTCCCTCTCCCTGCATGAACACTGACAGATTGTCATATTTTGGCCATGCTCCCAGAGGAGTGCTGTGAGAGGCAGGAGGGCAGATAAACGGCTATTACCATTCACACCGGCTCATTACTGGGCATTTAGACCCGGGAGCACCAACTCCAAAGCTTCACGCAGAGGGGCATTTATGCTGCTCCAGCTCCCACCCCAGGAACCCAGCAGCACTGGCCTTGTGGTTGAGAACTAAAACCCCGGCCTTTTTTTTTTTTTTTTTAGACTCAAATAAATAGCAAATATGTCAAAAAATAACAACAGAAATTAATGATTGCTCACAAGCACAATTTCCTGCATCACAAAATCTTCAAAGTTACCATTACTTTATAGATGGCGTCCGATTGATTCGGTCATTGAGACAGAAACATTCCGTCGCCGCAAACATGTTTTTTTTTTTCCCCCCGCATGGATCGTAAGCGCTGAAAAAGGCTAAACCTACTGTCATGAATCCGTCCAGCAGGCCTGAGTCTGGCTTGGGTGGGGCCTGTAGCCGCTCCATTGACCACTTCTCGATGATTGATGACACCTGAGAGTTTTCCGTGTTGAGAATGCGAAACCCAGTCATGTTAACTCCACTGTAGCGATACGGTTCCATATCGAGGGCAAAAAGGTCCTGGAAGCAAAAAAAAAAAAAAAAAAAGAAAAAAAGATGAAAGCATAATGTCGTGTTTGATCTAGAAAGAAGTTTACATAAATCTTTCATAATAATAGTCAAGAGAAGTGAGCTGATTGGCACTCATGGCCTAATGACTGAGGGCTAAGAGGTTTATCTAAAGGTATTTTTATTTTTTATTTTTCATCATACTGAGGCGGTAGCCTTGATTAAGGCAAGGTTTCAAGGTCACAGCCAGTCTTTTGGTGGGTTGCCATTTATCATGTGGCTGTGAAAGGACAACCCAATTGTCCTGCATGCAGCATATCTGGCATCTAACCAGGCAGATGTCTCTGGGACACAACAACACAGTTGAAAGAGCAACAGCAGGTGACGGACGCGGAACACGGGTGCCATGGTCAATATTTGCTGTTCCGAAACCAGCTCGGATGGCTCGGTACCAGTATACAGTAGTTCAGGCCAGCGCCGTGGCCACTTTTCTGCCAAACACTGGCTGATTTCGAAGTGGGCAAGTTTCCATCTCGACAGCCAAAACCACTATTCTCTTTCCTCTTTCAATGACATACCTGCTGTCAGTCTCATTACATACAGAGAGGATTCTACATGTGTGTGGACGCAGACCTTTTCAGCCTTTCTTCTGGACTCCCAAATAACATAGTGCATCATTTGTTTGTTAGAGCTATAATGGACCAAATGGATGACACTATCATCTGTTCAGGGCTATTATCTGAGCTCTCAGTCTTATGTTCTCTGGCTTTACTGGGGATGTGGTGCTGCTTTTCATCTGGAACATAGCGGTGGGCAATCTTTGTAGTAGCAAGATCAAAGATTTTTTTTGGAGAACTTCAGTGGCACCCAGAGTCAGAATAAAATGTTTCCACCTGCTTTTGTCTCCCACATCCAGGTTTCTGGTCACCTAGGGGGTGCCGGATTAGGGGGAGGGGGAGGAAAATCAATTTTTGTTAAACTTTCACAACTGATTTTAACATGCACAGAGAGTGCAGACTAAGTGACAGTCACAACACAGTTGAAAGTGACTCAGCTTTCTGAAGCTACCTAGTTTTATCATTTTGCAGTGAAGCTTTGAAATGAGTCACACACGGTAAAAATCACGTTGGACTCGTTTTTTTTTTCTTTGTCTCTACAGAAAGCTCTATGTTGAATTTTGCTCTGAGAGAAGAAAAACTCTTATCAGATACACAGACGGATGAATTTAGTTTTCCAGCAAACAAAACTGATAGTGTTTGTGCCTGGAAAAAAGGAAAGGGTGAAAAAAAAAGAAGCATCACTAAGCGTCATCAGATGTGCAAAAATATTCAGAGTGCCAATTTACTCACCAGGGTAGTAAAAATGTAATGGTAGTACTCAGTCATCATGCCCATGGCCAGGGCCTAGAAGAGAACAAAAACCAGGAAGTGTAATATAAATTTGCATTTAAAACTAATTCTAAGAATGCAACGTCAATTAAAAGATGTTTTTATTCAGCTGCTCCTTTAACACTACACAGCAGCTGACAGGTGGTCAGTAAGAATGACAAGAAAAGGAAAAAAAAAAAAAAGAAACAAAACATAATTTCAATTAAAAAAATGTCTCAAAAATACTTGAGTGGTTTACAAAAATGCTTTGGAAACAGTCGCCTCATTTTATGTCCATTTAAACAGAAATACTGTTTTCTTTGTGCTTGTTTTTATTTGTAACCAACTCCACAGGATTCAGCTTCAGAAGAAACCAAGCTTTCTCTCTTTGTCTTTTTTTTTGTGTTTTGTTTTCACATATAGTGTTAAAATATCTGCTTTAGAAAGAAGTTCGAAGTAGATATATTTCACACAAAATGTGTTATTTACACTGATAAAAATGTGTTTATTTCACAGTTCGGTACCTACAAACTGCTGCACCTTATTTTTGGCAAACACAAATAAAGATTTTTCACCACCCATATTGTAAGGAAATGTGGTTATGCGACTTGCTTTGGTTCCTAATATTTATTTAAAATCACGAGATATACAAAATACTCAATCTCTCATGGTTTACTTCCGAAACTCATTTCAAGCGCTGAACGGTCAGCAAACGTTTTAGAATATATGCCGGATGTGGCAGATGGCCTCTCACGCTGGACCGAACTGTGCTGAAGGTTTCTTCCTGTTAAAAGGGAGTCATTTCTTTCAATTGTTACCACATGCATGTTCAGATCGGGGCACTGCTGCAAAATTGACAAACTGAAATGTGACGATATTAAACGTTTGCTCATGCGCTTAAAGAAATACTGCCAGATCAATGCTAAGATGTAGACAAAGTGTAACTTTTTAATTTATGATAAAAAATAGTTATGATTTTTTTCCGTAAAATGTTCTGCTTTTTTACGTAGATAATTGTGTATTGGACTGAGTGGACTGTTCCTTATTCACAGAAGGACAAGAGAAGACTTACTAATATAATACAGACATTTTCTATGAGATTAAATGATAGCGATAGTGCAATTATATATCCCATGTGCTCAAGGGAAACACAAATCCTTGTGTTTGACTCTTGTTCACATTTACTTGATTATTTTTCAGAAAACAGCAGTCACACTAGTGTAGCAAAATGCCATTAAACAGTTTTATCTGCATTTCTTGTTATTCTCTTTAAATAATTTATTATTTCATGATTACAGTGAAATTCACAAAGAACAAAGGGGTAAAAAAAAAAAAAAAAAAAACCCTACCACCCCGCCGGTAGTGTTTCGTTTAGCATATGCACAAAATGAGCTGACAGAACAGATCGTGCTTCCTGAACAGATTGGGCAGTGACAGAGAGGACTGAGCTGAACTAGAGCAAAGATGGCTAGAAGAAGTTTTGCTTCAGTTCACCTGCTCAGCTAGCAAGTTCAAGATGCAAAATCAAAAGATTACATAATAAGTTTTCGTCTGCGAGAGAGAATGCTAAAATATTCTTCAATAAAGACTTCACTTCGATAAGAGCCGCCACAACTTTCATAAATAACGACCTCCAGTTAAATGAACTCAAGATGCCTGTGAGCAGAGTTGGACTTTCTAATTAAAAAAAAAAAAAAAAAAATTTTATTGGGCAATTGAGAGCATCCGTTAGTAGCGGTCAGTCTTCAGGATCTCATTATATACAAGGGGAGTAAAGGT